CTATAGTCAGAATTTTAATTAGATTCCAGATTTGACAATAGCTACTGTCATTTTGTGAAATAATGATACCACATATAATAGTGTAGTGATGCACACAAAAATCGATAAACAATCAGTGTGTGTGTTTTATAATAAATGTTACAGAAAGTGACAGGATAGCGATAGCGATGACGGCGACAATTTATAAAATAACTTATTACCATAATACATCTATCTGTTTTATTTGTCATGTTCCTTCATGATTACATTTTTTTATTTATTTCACACACAATTATAAAAGAAAAGTCTCAGACCGTTAATTAATCGTCAAAACTAAATTATCAGTCAGAAATATTTAATTTCCTGATATACTTAGTTTACGAAAGTAAAATTATAAAAGAAAAGAATCGATCCAGAAATATTGCATTTCCATATCGAATAATTTCGCAACGTCACTATTTAGTACTTGTCATAACGTTGCAACACTGAAATTGTCAAATCTGGAATCGAATTAAAATTCCGAGTATAGTGACACGCTACTTCACTATTCCTCTTCCCCCGCTTCCCCGCTACTGACCGCTCGACGCTTACTAGGACGCGGGAGAACAACGAGTCCCGCGCCGGAGCCGTGACCCACGCACTCCGTATTTGTACCGCGAAATATTCGAGTTATATGTATTATATTGTATTATTGTGCAACTTTGTTTATACAATTTAAAGTTTATTTCCAATATACAGTTTTACAGTCATTCGTGTGTCGAACTTCATTTCACGCCCCTGGGAACCCACTAAGACAATTCTCATTAGTATATTAAAAAAGTTATTTCTCAGTTAAGATTTATCTGGCTTTGGAAAAATCGGTCCTTAGTTGATTTAAAATGGAGTTTGTTATCTTAAGATACAAGTTATAAGAATCTCAGCAATTAGCGTTCCACAGTCTCTACCTACACACATGGGAGACGTGAAGAAGTTATATATGACAAATTCAGCTATAATTAGCATCCAAATCATAATTCTGATGATGATGAGACTTCATATGATTTTTCAAACTACCATTTTGAGTGAACGTCGAGTTGCAGATATCGCATTTGTATCTCCTATCATTACTATGAGACCTAATATGTTCCTGCAACGACTGTAGACGCGGATAACTTTTGTCACAGAACTCACATCTGAAGTTCCTCTCCCCCGTATGAGTGGCCATATGTTCTTTTAACCGCGACGGGAGATAGAACCTTTGATCGCACAAATCACACTGATGTTTGTAGACTTTTAAATGATTTCTTCTATTGTGTTCCATCAGAGTCTTTCGTCTATTGTAGACTTTGTCACATAGCTTACAGGCGAAAGTTCTTTTGTCGCCGTGCACTTCGATCAAATGTCTGTTCCTTAAAGCGTAGGAGAGGAAACTAGCCTCGCATTTATAACAATTCACTGTTGGTTTCTTTTCATGGACCGTAGCTACGTGTAAGTACCTGCTGTATTTACTTTTTAAATTCTTCCCGCATATCTCGCATGGGAAACTCTCTTCGACCTTCGTATGCGATTTTATATGTGTACGCAATGAATTCCGCTCCAAAAAGCAAGCGCCGCAAACATCGCAGATGTACGTCCCAAAATGATCAATCATATGTTTTTTTAAAACGTCAAAGTACGGAAACGTACCATTGCATTCTGTGCAAATCAAATTATTCAAACTCAATTTGAATTTCAAAAATTCATTCGTGACTGGATACAGCATTTTGCCGTGGACACTAGTTAGATGTTTTTTGAAGACATCTAAATCATCGATTTTCTCGTTGCATAATCGACAATCGATTCTAGTGATGTCTATTTTCGGGATTTTTCGGTTTTCCATCGTGTTTTGGAATAGTTCGACTGGGTCGTGGGTGAGGGTGTGTTCTCGGAGTTCATTTGGATTAGTAAATTGGTCCCTGCAGTAGAAACAGTAGTATATACTGATTCTATTTTGAAAAGGACAGACATAGGAGTTATGTACTATTGTCAAAGCGTTGGTATACACCATCAAGTCATGATCTAATTCTTGTTTTTTCTTTTTGCTTGTTTCTTTTTTTACTGGAACTTCTGCAACTGAAATGAGAATAAGAAAAAGTTAAAATAGAATATAACATAACATACCATCATCCTTTTTATCCTTGAAGGAGTAGACAGAGGTGCACACATTTAATGCTACTGTAACACCCACTTTTTACTATTTATGTTATGAGTCCCATGTAGTAGGGGGTGAGTCTATTGCCCTATACCGGGCACAATTCCAAGCTTCGTACTACAACTGAAAATTTTTAAAAACCCCACTAATACACAACCCGGAAATTGAACCAGAGACCTCCTGCCCGGCAGTCGCACTTGGAAGTGTCTAGAATTGGATACTTGCCGACTAGTCAAATTCAATACTTTCATAGTAAGTGAAAAAAGTGATAAACACCAGCAACACACCCAACAACACTGTTGTTCACTCATTCAGTTGTTCCCTTTGTACCTTTGTTAGCTTTGATTTCTTGTATGGCCTGTTTTTAGTAATTTTTAGTTTTCATAAATTGAACAAAATTTATTACAGTAAAATGGATTAACATTTGGGAATTATTTATGTAATTTGATATAAATGGATTATGTAATTGGACTTCAGGTTCGCTCACTATTTATAATTAAGATTGTTGTGTACGATTTCAATCTGTCGTCTGTATCTGTACTTATGTAAAATAAATAAATAAACACCCATGATGCTACAGTCCATCTTTTGGAGAGGTAATGGAGCCATATTTAATATGTTTTATTTTTATTTATTGAATAAGCCGATAAACTGGCAAACAAATCACCTGATGGTAAGCAATCGGCGCTGCCAATGGACACATAAAATACAAGAGGCATTACCAGTGCATTTTGGGGATTAACAATTTGTTGATCGTTGGGATTCGGGATTGGGGAGATTGTAGAGGGGGGTGATTGGGCCTCCGGTAACCTCACTCACACGACGAAACACAACGCAAGCGTTGCTTCACGTCGGTTTTCTGCTCGGCCGTGGTATCACTCCGGTCGAGCCGGCCCAGCAGTGCCGAAGCATAACAGGCCCACAATTTTTTATGGAATAGGAGGCAAGCGAGCAGACGGATCACCTGATGGTAAGCGATCAGCGCCGCCCATGGACACCCGTAACACCAGAGGAGTCACAGGTGCGTTGCCGGCCCTTTAAAAAGGAATACGCTCTTTTGTTGAAGGTTTAAAAAAATAAATAAACAATCTTACCAGGTTTATCCAACATCTCGTCTAGTTTGGCTCGCAACTTCTTCATTTTAATAGAGATCTCCTTCTTAATGGACCGCTCTCCCCGCTCCCTCTTGGCGCGCGTGCGATACGACACGGGAGCTTCCTCCGACTCGTCCTTCAAATCCATGTCCATTTTCGTGTCTATTGCATCTGGAATTCATTAAAAACCATTTTGTATGAGATGTTGAATGAGTCTCACACAACTTGGAGTCTAGGTGGAAATAACATAACATAACATCACGCCTTTTTATCCCCGAAGGGGTAGGCAGAGGTGTACATTGCCACTGTACAATGTAACACCCACTTTTCACTATTTATGTTATGAGTCCCATGTAATAAGAGGTAAGCCTTTTGCCATAAACCGGGCACAATGCTAGACTTCGTGCTACTAATGAGATTAAAAAAAACACAGTAGTACATTAAATAAAATCGCGGGTAACTCACGTGAATATACTGAGAAAAGCTCTACTAGTTTCGAACCACAGAGGGGTTCGTAGGCTGCGCGACATCGCCACGACAGCGCACGCTGCTCATGAGGAAGAACCCCTCTGTGGTTCGAAACTAGTAGAGCTTTTCTCAGTATATTCACGTGAGTAACCCGCGATTTTACTGAATTAAATATGTCCCACGATAGTTATTATAAAAACAGTAATACTTTGCTCGACCCGAAAATCAAACCCGAGACCCCTTGTCTGGCAGTCGCACTTGCGACCACTCGGCCAACGAAGCAGTATCAATGATTTTCTACCCTCAAAAAAGAACACTAGATACCTGTCATATCCTGGTCTGGGAGTTCATCGCGATCCTCCATTCCATCAGAGCCATCGGAGTCCTCACATAGTGGTTCCGCCTTTATTATTACTTCCACCTTGTCTGAACAATCTGCAATTAATTATATTATTTAAGGTATGCTGTCATTACTCATCATCAACAGCCCATAAATACCCACTGCTGAGCAAAGCCTCTTCTCACACGGAGAAGGTTTGAGCATTAATTGCACTTGCTCAATGCAGATTGGCGATTTCAAACTTACAATAAGAAATTATAAGTCCAGGTTTCCTCATGACGTTTTCCTTCACCGTTTATCAGTAGTGTGTAAATAGTCTTAGAAAGTACATATAACTCGGAATAAGTCACATTGGTACTTGCCGTTGGTAGGTTTCGAACCTGCAGTCTCGTGCATGAGAAGCGGAAATGCACGGTCAAAGGTCAAAAGTCCACTGCCACCGTAAGACTACTATCGGTTGCGCTGCAGCGCTTGTACACACATGCACACGCATATTTGTATCCGTGTGCGTACGCGTGCGTGTGTTTGTGCGTACGCACGCGTTTTGATGCACATTAATATGAAATTACTTACGCATTGCCGTTTGAACATCACTCACGGTGGCAGTGGACTTTTGACCTTTGACTGTACATTTCTTTATGAATTTTCCAATTTAAACTGTCAAACACCAAGCGGTCACCGGTGACCGCAACCTATTGTTCTATAATTGTGTCTATAATCACGGTACTCGACGAGTTAAAAAGAAATGTACATTTCCAAAAACTATTATTTTAAATTAAGTTTAGTTTTAAAGAACGACTGAGGTGAAGGACTCCTTCGGATAAATAAAATTTAGTTACCTTCTTTTAAATGTAGTCTGGTACTCAGGAAGACTTCCTCAGACTGCAGCACTTGTTGTCTAAACGCACAGGCGTCACGCAGCCTCACCACACAGGTCGCACATATACAACACTCCTTGGTCTCACCATCTAGGTTTGATAGCTGGAACATGAAAAATAATTCCGTTTTACTCAAGAAGACTGCCTCTGTGGCTTAGTCGTCGCAAATGCCACTGCTGGACAAGGGGTCTCGGGTTCAATTCACATGTCGGACAAAGTATTACTGGGTTTTTTTATAAAAACTCTAAGTGGTAGAATGTAGTCTGGAATTGTGCCCCGTTATGGCAATAGGCTCACCACCTATTACATGGGACTCATAACATAAATAATGAAAAGTGGGTATTACATTGTGCAGTGGCATTAAGTGCTGTAATGTGCACCTCAGCCTACCCCTTCGGAGATAAACGGTGTGATGTTATGTTATTGAAGAACATTCATCCTCACCTAAAATATGAGAAGTAATAGAAAGGTAGATGTTCGTGCACGTTCTACAAATATATTCTTACACTATAAGCTGACTGAATAAAATTAAGTCAGTTATTGATCTATTTAAAAGCTGCATTATTCGAGTTCATTCCAAAGGATAAAGATGAAGAAGCATTGGGCTTTTGTCATTATCCTATCATCATCATCGCTTACCTCCAGATGAAATCCACCTAGAGGACATCAACGTATCAAGTATAAAAAAAGGTTCAGACTACTAAACATCACGGGACGATCTCCGGCCACCGAAGCGCGGGCCTGTGGACGGCGAGCATGCGTGGCTCGACGCCCGACCAAAACCAGACCCAAGTGTACAGCACATCAAATAGCCATCAGAACACCACGGATGGGGCCCAATATGGCTGATGCCGATATGGAATCGTGGAGAACCTAATGGGTTACTGGGACTCCGGCTCGAAGTGCAGGAGTAGGAACGGGGTGGTTTTAGTCAGTAAGAGTCTGACACTCCCTCTCGCCTCACCCAGACATAGAAGTCATTCGATGATATTCCCTCCTTAAAAAATAGACTACTGATCATAGGCATCCCCTAATGATTTTCAGATTAGCTGGTTAGGACAGACCTTTGTTGAGGGTTTCAAAGATAAAAGACTATGGGAGATCCAGACATCTAAGCCTAACTATACGCGAGACGTGATAGTTGTGCTTACAGACGATTTATTTAACGCAGTAGGTACGCAAGTTTCTTGAAACAATATTACTAACAAACTGTCCTATTACATATCTAGACGATTTGATTCCAAAATACACGCAAATAGAACTGATTATAATAAAAAAACCTCTCCCAAGTCGATGCACTCGAAGATTCACTTTGCCTGCCGCGATTTTACTTTTCATAGTAGAGGAACCATTAAATGCATTCAATAATATTGGAGCTACTTATTAAACCTGTATAATACTCACAAGTAGCCCAAAACAATCCATGAACATATCTGAATAAACCTCTTTACTTCCCATCCATTCATACTCGACTGTTAAAAGACGACATTTCTTTATAGACCTGCAGCACCTACATAAGGCTGGGTCTATGATCGGACCCTTGCCCTTTGCTGGAGCTGCCGGAGTCTCCATTTCAAATTACTTATGTTGTTTTCATTTAAAAATTGTATTTTCTTCAAGAACTCGGAAAATCGAAACACAATTCCCGTATTGTTTGACGTTTTCGTTTACAGCGTTCCAGTTTTATTTCTTTCAAATGTCAGCTCTTGAGCATTTTAAGGTTGTCAGATTTTAAAGTGTTTTTCTCGTTCTTTTTACATAACAAAGAAAGAAATAGAGTATAATTAAATTTTCGACTTAAAATTGTTTAAATCGATCGACTATGTTTTGTTTTTAATGTTTACAGCATAAGTTTTTACAATGTAGCAGCGTTTTTTTTAAATGTGATGCGATCTCCAACCCGCCTGCCAAGTACGGAAATTATGGTAAGCCCTCTTATGTAGTTGAGGCCGATTAACCGGTAGGTAGTTACTAGTTATAGATGTACGATTCTTCGGATAAAAACTCAAAATAGATAAATACTGAGCAAAGAAACTCTCGTATAAACTCGTATACCAGGTAGTAAGACTGTCGCGGGCTATTAATATCTGTCGTGGTGGCCCGGAGGTTTAAGACGCCCGCTTCTCATGCATGAGGGGATAGGTTCGAAATGTACCAACGGCAAGTACCAATGTAACTTTTTTCGAGTTATATGTAGTTTCTAAGATTATCTAGACACCACTGACAAACGGTGAAGGAAAACATTGTGAGGAAACCTGGGCTTATAATTTCTAATTATAAGTTTGTAATCGCCAATCCGCATTGAGCAAGCGCGGTGATTAATGCTCAAACCTTCTCCGTATGAGAAGAGGCATTGTTCAGCAGTGGGCACTTATAGGCTATTAATATTGACCATTCCAATATTTTTTATGGTGTATCTACTTAAATAGAACAAGGCGAACAGCACCAGAGTTACAAGTGCGTTGCCAGCTTTTTAGTGACAGGGGAAGGGATCACGGGGGGGGGGGAGGAATCACAAACTTACAAACCTACCGATGAAAGGTTAATCCAGGTATTTTTTTTTCTTATGTGTTCACGCGCGCCACTCGAGGAAGAAAATCGCAGCTTTTTAGGGCTGCTACGTGGTGGGACCTGCCACAATGTAGTGGTAGGTCGAGGCCTGCAGGGTGCGGTGAATCCGCAAGGGCGTCCCGGGTCACGGCCACAGGCAGAGGAGGAACACCGCGGTGGTTTTAGCCGGTAAGAGTCCGGCACACCCCCTCGTCGTCCCCACGGCGTGGGAAGTCCATGAGGATTTCCATCGCGTTATAAAAAAAAAAAAGGTATTTTCTTATATCTATTGCAGTCACATCTGTACGCACTGCACTTCACCATTTTATTTTAGATTATTTAAATTGTATAAAAAAATAATATTTTCTTTTATAATGACATTGACAAAGACATATCAATATGGCGGCACGGAAGAACTGGCTACATGTCAATATTTGTCTATGTGTGGAGCAATGTGGCTACAGGTAAAAGAATGAAACACCATTATTAGGTTGATGCTTGACAAAACAAGGACAAAGACCATATACGTTATAACTAGGAGTTAATGTTCGGTCTGCTTATTATTTTTAAGTAACATGACATAACATCACGCCTTTTATCCTCGAAGGGGTAGGCAGAGGTGCATATTATACCACTGTACAATGTAACACACACTTTTTACTATTTATGTTACGAGTCCCATGTAATAGAGGGTGAGTGTATTGCCATATTTAATTTTTAAAAACCCAGTAACACTGCGCGACCCGGGAATCGAACCCGAGACCCATTGCCCGGCAGTCACACTTGCGACCATTCGGCCAACGAGGCAGTTGATTATTTTAAGTCTGTGTAGGGAATAGGGCCTATCGTATTTTTGGTCCCCAGTTGGCGCTAGTGTGCGTTGTTTAGCACCAGATTTCTATAGATCAGCGCTGGTGTAATATCATACCACAACAGTCGTAAAAAGTGTCAAAATAAAACCAAAACCGTCATTGTCAATATTTTAATTATAAAACTTAATAAATAATATTCTTAAATATAAATTGTGATCATTATTATTATTATGCATCTATGTATAATAGTTATATAATATCTACATTACTTAATATTACATTTTGTCTAATTACAATAAATAATTCTACTTAACTACACTTGAAGACAAACAACCATCGCCACGAGCGTTTTCCTTTTTCATTTCTTGATAGATATACTCTGACACAAGCATTTTATTAATTGGTGACGTGTCTTCTAAAAAGGCAATAGGGATGATGACAGGGTATGAAAATTAAAAATCTAATTAGTCCGTAAGTTAGGTAATGAAAAAATATTAGACACGTATGTACTTATTCTTTTATATTGTTGTATAAGAAAACAATACTTAGATAAAACGACTTAAAATTTAGGAGGGGGAGGCAGCTACGTCATTTTAGAGGATAAATCGCACTTAAAAGTGACGTCATGCGATATTTCAAATCAATCTATCTTCGAAACTATTCGTTTCCGTAAGAAAATGAAAAATACGTGTCTAATGTTTTTAAATAATCTACCAGACGGAGATTGCAATAAAAATTAGTCATCTACCCTATTTAGTTACCTTTAAAATGAGAGCAAAAGGAATATTATTTTAAAGATATAGAGAGAGACTGCGCGGTTGGTGCGGTGGCTGGACAGTTGCCCAGTAGTAGTATGTGTATGTGAACTTGTATGTTTGTAAAGGCACCCACGACACAAGAGAAAATCCTAGTGCGGGACAATGTTTTTTGTAAATAAAAAAAAAGGATGCTCTAAAATGAAAAAAAAAAAACAGTCTGTGGCGTCGTTTCTTTGTTTCAAAGTACATTTCATTATTGGGGTATTATCATTATTTAGAATATTTTAATTATTATTTGTGATATACACAAGGTTACGTCTTTTAATCTCCAGAGGAGTAGACAAAGGTAGACATATACAGCTTGGCAAAAAAGAGTTTGGGATAATAGATGTCGCTAGTATCGTAAAATGTGGTAACCTGGTACACTACGACTCAATCGGTTTTGATATTTGTTATTTTTATCGAGTTTAAAAAGAGAAGCTACTATGTTCGGATGATTGTTTATTCATGCGGTATAGTCGGAAGTGGGTAATTCAGTCCAAGTCAATATTACTTCCAGCCCCAGCTGTTTATGCGTCAAACTGTTTTTTACTAAGCTGTACAATGCAACGCCTACTTTGCATCAGTTATATTGAGTCCCATGCAATAGGGGGTGAGATTATTGCCATAATACATTAGACAGCCTCCGCACTATTACTAAATTAAAAAAATCTCAATAACATTTTTGCCCAAGCCCGAATCAAAACAGAGATCCCTAATTGGGCATTCACACTTGTAACTAGATGACCAATAAGGCGGTATCTTTTTAAAAACATCAACTTATTGGAGAAAATACTTCATACAATAAAATGAAGGCCAATCATTACAAAATATTAAATGTACATACTGTATATTAAAAAAAAAATACTGTTACAGAGATTCATTTGTTATGTATGTAGTCAAATTATATAAAAATGAGATCAAAACATACTTTCAATGCGTTTTAAGGGCAGTTTCAATGAAACCTATCCATTCCATTGACAAAATAGCTGACAGACAATTGGGAAGTTTCCTGTGTCAAAAATAAATTATTTTGATTTGTCAGTCCAATTGGGATGATGACAGGGTATGAAAATTAAAAATATAATTAGTCCGGAAGTTAGGTAATGAAAAAATATTAGACACGTATTTTTTTATTTTGTCGTATAAGAAAACAATACTTAGACAAAGCGAATAAAAATTTAGGAGTGGGGGCTAAAACGTCATTTCTACGTATAAAATGTACATAGAAGTGACGTCACGCGACATTTCAAATCAATATATCGTCGAAAGTATTCGTTTCTGTAAGAAAATAAAAAATACGTGTATAATGATTTAACACAATCTACCTGACGGACATTAATATAAAAATTAGGCATCTATCCTATTAAATATTAAAAAATAGTTACACTTTCATTCATTGATTTGCCGATATACTTAATTTTCGATTTATTCTAGCATTTCTTTTAGATATAAGTGTGTTATTTGACGCGAAAATATGATGACGTCATAAGATGGTATTTCGTACAAAATTCATAGAACAATATCGTTTTTGACGTTTCGAAAAAAGTATTGAACTTAGTCAAATTCAATACTTTTATCGAAACGTCAAAAACGACACTTTTCTATGAATTTTGTACGAGACTGTGTATTTTGACGTCACGTTTTTTTAGCGTCAAACAGCATACTTATTTCTTAAAAAATTATGGCAAAAATAGTAAATTTTATAAAATCAATTAATGAAAGTGTGATTATTTTTTAATATTTTATTGTACTGAACAGTCGAAATAATTTATTTTTGATTAAGGAAAGTACCCAATTATAAGACTGTACGTGTTCGACGGTCAGTTTAGTTTATACTGATCTAACATAGTTTGATGTGTCTCTTTTTGGAGCGTTATATTAGTGTCTGTATTTACTTATAAAAAATATGTCATTCGCTATTGTAGTACCTATTTCTGGCATTCTACTACATGTAGGCACGATTATAGGATCTAAATAAGGAATAGATAGCAAATGGAGTGATCATTGTGATCTGTGATTTTATATTTCACTCGCTACTTGGCTCATTTTCATCGTAACGCGATGTTTTTTTTTATGGCATAAGCCGGTAAACGACGGTAAACGCCCATGGACACCTAGAACACCAGAGGCGTTACAAGTGCGTTACCGGCCTTTTGGGGATTTGGAGTTTGAGGATCGTTGGGGATTCAGGAATTGGGGAGATTGGGGAAGAGGAGGGTAATTGGCCTCCGGTAACCTCACTCACACGATGAAACTCAACGCAAGTGTTGCTTCACGTCGGTTTTCTGTGAGGCCGTGGTATCACTCCGGTCGAGCCGGCCCATTCGTGCTGAAGCATGGCTCTCCCACACTTAAACTTGTTTTATAGCCTATCTCTATAAATGGACTCTCTAACACAAAAATAATTATTCAGTTGGAACCAGTAATTATGGATATTAGCGCATTCATCGTTTAGACAAACAAACAGGCCTACAACTCTACAGCTTTATAGTAATAGATCCTTACTAATATTATAAATCGGAAAGTGAGTTTGTTTGTTTATTTGTTCCGCTTTCACGCCGTAACTACTAAACCGATTGCTTTGAATTTTAGCAGACGTAAAGTTAGAAGTCCGGATTAAATAATAGGGTACTTTTTATTCCGGAAAAATTTGATATTCTGGAGGGAAAACGAAATCATTGGTATAGATGGCGCTGTGTGTGTATATGTCACAAATGCTACTTTTTATCCTTTTGTGACGCGAGCGAAGCCGCGGGTAAAAGATAGTTTTTAATAAAAACTAAAGTTATTTTTAAGTTACTTGTGATACCGTTACTCTTCTCGCTGGTGTCGCATACCCGACTAAGGGACTACACATTAGACAGAGACCGGGCAGCAGCTCTCTGATAAACCTGAACCATTTTGTGTTTGTTGACGTTTCAATAGTATAAAATTATGATTTAACTCGTCGAGTACCGGTTTTGTAGACACAATTATAGAACAATAGGTTGCGGTCACCGGTGACCGCTTGGTGTTTGACAGTTTAATTGAAATATATGCTTTAACTTTGAGCACTCCATTTGCTATCTACTCCATAAAAACATTTAATTTCATATAGGTACAATATTTATAACAAAAGTTATAATACATAATCGGGTACTTGCCAACTAGTGAAATTCAATACTTTTTTCGAACTGTCAAAAATGACAGTTTTCCTATAAATTTTGTACAAGATTGTGTATTGTGACGTCACGTTTTTTTAGCGTCAAACAGCATAGTTATTTCTTAAAAATATGCTGAAAAAGTACTAAAATTTAATTGGTCATTAAATCAATTAATGAAAACGTGATTATTTTTTAATATTTTATCGTAATGAACAGTCTAAATAATATATTATTGATTAAGGAAAGTACCCAATTATACTACCTAAACACTACTACTATTTACATACAAATACTTATATACATAAATAAAGTATCTATATATTAAATTAAATTAACACTAATACTATAAAAAAGTGATGTATTGCTGTTATTATTAAAAATACTAATTAAAAAAATACATTCAGACTGTTTTGTGAAATTAATCTCAAATATTATTTGATTTGCAATCTGGTGGGACATTGATAACTGCGTATGTGGCGCGACATGTAGTATAACTCGGTTCATTACAGAAAGGAATCTAAAATGGCGGTGCTTATCATGTTTTCTCGCTTGCACGCTAGTGCCGTCTATACTCACTCTCGCGCGTACCGTAGATATAAAAATAATCCCGGTGAAGGACCGTCTCATAGATAGTATTAATAAATGAGTTAAAAGTAATATTCGTTTTTTATTTATACCACCAAAATCATAATAAAGATCCTCAAAAGTATTTTTCAAATCTTTAACTGGTTAGAAATAAATACGGCCCGATCATGTTTTTATTATTTCTAATTTGAAAGAAATATTCGACTTGAAATTTTATATGCTACAGTCTGGCAAACGAAAGTAGAGACTGAAAAAGCCCGGCAAATATAAAAAATATCAGTATAGCAACCCAAAAATTAGTATGTCATACCTGGAGTAACCAGACGTGAAGACGTAACAAACAAACAAATTATTATAAAGTATCAAATTAGGTTACTCCAGGTATGACATACTAATTTTTGGGTTGCTATAATGATATTTTTTAAATTTGCCGGGCTTTTTTAGTCTCTACTTTCGTTTGCCAGACTCTAACTGTACTACTTGTCAACGCAAGTACAAGCCGCCATTTAAGATTCCTTTCTTTAATGCATCGGCTTATATAAGTGCCGGCACGAATCTTCAACGCTCGGAGTCATAGGACTCATAGGGGGGATCGCTTTGCGCATTCCATACATAGTGAGCCAATCGCCGTCGTTTTAGCGAGCGCCGGAAACGAATCACGAGTGACGTCTATGACGCGATGGCGCGGCGAACCAATCACTACTACTACTACTAAATAAGCCCGATATTTGACTTCAGCGCTAAAGACCCGTGCACTAGTAACTAGGTTCGATTCCCGTACGAAATAGCTCTTTGTGTTACCTATAGTATTTTCCGGGACTCTGTGATGTGTATGTGAAATTGTATGTTTGTTTTGCACATACGACACAGAATAAAATCTCAGTGAATAAAGCGACATTTTTTGTTTAAATACTATGCAACTATCAGATACCGCAAAGCCTGAAGACAAAAGTCTTCAACGAGTGCGTCCTTCTAGTAATGACATACGGAGCCGAGACATGGACACTGACAGTGCGACTGGTCCACCAATTTAAGGTCGCGCAGCGAGCTATGGAGAGGGCTATGCTCGGAGTCTCTTTGAAGGATCGAATCCGAAACGAAGTGATCCGACAGAGAACCAAAGTTATCGACATAGCCCAAAGGATCAGTAAGCTGAAGTGGCAGTGGGCCGGACACATTTGTCGAAGAACCGATAACCGTTGGGGTAAACGTGTTCTAGAGTGGAGACCGCGTCTGGGCAAACGCAGTGTAGGGCGCCCTCCAGCTAGGTGGAGTGACGACATCTGCAAGGTGGCTGGCAGTGGTTGGATGAGAAGAGCTGAAGACCGAGCTCAGTGGCGTGCCATAGGAGAGGCCTATGTCCAGCAGTGGACGAATACAGGCTGATGATGATGATGACTATGCAACGTGTCGTGGTATCGAGTCCCACACGAAACAACTCTATGTGTGAACTCCAAATTATTTGTGTTAGGTTTTCGACTAAAAAGTCATTTAAATTCATAAGATATAAAATCTAACCGCAAGTTCCTATACCGCAAGTACAACATCGATTTCTGATTCTATTGCGCAGTCAATAAGGTCGTAAATGCACTGAAGAAATTAGATTACCTTTTAGCTTACATTACATGTAATAGGGATGATGACAGGGTATGAAAATTAAAATATAATTAGTCCGTAAGTTAGGTAATTAAAAAATATTAGACACGTATTTTTTTATTTTGTCGTATAAGAAAACAATACTTAGATAAAACGAATAAAAGTTTAGAAGTGGGGGCTAAAACGTCATTTCTACGTATAAAATGTACATAGAAGTGACGTCACGCGACATTTCAAATCAATATATCGCCGAAAGTATTCGTTTCTGTAAGAAAATAAAAAATACGTGTGTAATGATTTAAAATAATCTACCGGACGGACATTAAAATAAAAATTAGTCATCTACCCTCTTCTAAGCACCACCAAACCACAGAATCAAATTAAAAATTAGAAATAACATCCTTCAATATCACACTCCGGGTGGTGACTCTTTATATGAGATTTTAAACTAGCATTCTGTATAAACGCCTGCCCGCATATATGACACCTGTACCTACGATCATTCGTATGAGTTCTTATATGATACTGCAAGGACTTTAATCTCGGATAACTCTTTTCACAATACTCACATCTGAAGTTTCTCTCCCCAGTATGCGTCGCCATATGCTCTTTCAGCCGCGACGGCAAATAAAACCTCTGATCACAATATTCACACTGATGCTTCATAACTTTTTGGTGATTCCTCCTTTGATGTTCTGTCAAAGTCTTTTGTCTATTGTAGACTTTATCACAAAGGTTGCATGGGTACGTCCTCTTTTGTCCATGGGCTTCGGTCAAGTGTTTATTTTTTAATGCGTATGACATGAAGCATTCATCGCATCGAGGACAACGGATTATTGCTTTCTTCTTATGTACTATATCAACATGCATGTCCTTGTAATGATTTGACTTGAACACTTTACCACAGACTTCACATGTGTGCCGTTCATCATCTTTATGCCGTTTCAAATGGGCATCTAACCTCGGTTTCTCTAAGAAGCATACACCACATATATCACAAGTATAATTACTAAAATGTTCCACCATATGAGTATTTAAAGTATTAAAGTCTTCGAACACATCGTTGCACATAACACACACTAGATCGTTCCACGTCAACTTATAAAGTAACATTTTATCGGGCGCTTCAAAGTAAATCTTTTTACCATGCACTTGATCTATATGTTGTTTAAAAACGTTGAGATCATCTATTTTAGTAGTACATAGTCTGCAGTCTATCCTTGTGATGTCGATTTTTATCATTTTTTTGTACCCCATCAGAAGCTGAAAAGGCTTGGTGTCGTGGGAGACTGTATGCTCTCTTAAATCTTCTGGTTTGGGATAATAGTCTTTGCAGTAGAAGCAGTAGTAGTTATTTCTTCTGTTCTTGAAGGGGCATACGTATGAGTATTGTATAATTGTCAGTAAATTTTCTTCGGACATACAATCTAGATCTCGGTCGTAGTTATTTTTCTTTTCCACCGGCGGTTTCTTTATCGCTTTCGGTGATTTTTTTGATGTACCTGGTGGAAAGATGGTATATTAGATTTTTGTAATAGTAAATTGGGTACTTTCATTAATCAAAAATTAATTATTTCGACTGTTCAATACAATAAAATATTAAAAAATAATCACACTTTTATTAATTGATTTTATGACCAACTTAATTTTAGTCTCAAAAAATCTCAGTAGTAGCACGGAGCCTGGAATTGTACCCGGTATATGGCAACAGGCTCACCCCCTATTACATGGGACTCATAACATAAATAGTGAAAAGTGGGTGTTACATTTTACAGTGGCATAATGTACACCTCTGCCTACCCCTTCCGGGATAAAAGGCATGATGTTATGTGAATGTTTTAATTTTAGTATTTATCCAGCAATTTTTAAGAAATAAATATGCTGTTTGACGCTAAAAAACCGTGACATCACAAATCACAATCTCGTAAAAAATTCATAGAAAACTGTCATTTTTGACAGTTCGAAAAAAGTATTGAATTTGACTAGTTGGCAAGTACACAATTGTTAAGCCGTGTGGAGACGGCAAAAAAAGTATACGTATGTCACAACCCCTGCTCTTTCCGTGGGATTTGTAAAAGCTCGCTTAAGGCGGGCCGTCAGCATCTCCTGCTGCATGAGCGATTGAGAAGCAAACGCAATTATAAAGCGGTGAGCCGGTGACCTAGCTTCACATAGTTTCACTAACGGACTGACTGACAGACTATTATTTATTTTGTATTTGTTGACGTTTCAAAAGTACCAAACTATGGTTTAATTGAATTAAATGCTTTGACTTTGACTTTGTGACACGCGAATTCAACGCGATGCGGTGCGACGTGGCGGCTTTTTCCTCAGTCCTACGTGCATGCGAATCGTTTCTCTTCACTTGTTTCCATCATTATAAGCAAACAAAATCACGACAGCACCGCATACAAATATGACAGTTCGCGCGAAAATATCAAACCACCAGCTGTAGCCAAATGCCATTTAGCGCTTGTCTACATGTAGAATAGAAAACCAAATTATATGGAATTGACGTAAATTTTGACACTTGTCAGTGTCATTCCCATACATTTTTTTTAAGGTGGGAAAATCATCGAATGGCTGCTCCCGCCTGGGTGAGGCGGGAGTGAGTGTCAGACTCTAATTGACTAAAAACCACCCCGTTCCTTCTCCTGCACGTCGAGCCGGAGCCCCGGTTACCCGTTAGGTTCTTCGCGACATCCCCATACATTTAGTTTTCTACTCGCTCTGTAGACAAGCGCTAATGTGGCGTTTAGCTAAAGGCACAGCTGATCGCGTCCGCGTCATTTCGCGTCGCTCCACATCGCACCATACGGCCGTACCTATTGTCACGGAGAACGCTTTAATAGGTTTCGACATAGTCTGCATTCGCTATTAGATCGCTCACGCAGGTCGTAGCGAAAAGAAAATATAAATTTCCTCTAAACGTCCATAGATTGCTTACGTGATCCGTTTGTCATATGCTGGCTTATCCCACAAAAAGAAAAAACCAGTGAATTGGATTAAATTTACTATAAAACGTACCTACTTGACAACATAAATGAAATAAGAGACATATCACCATAGAACATACCAGCTTTACTCTTCTTAACAGCAGTCTTCTTCTTCTTCTGTGCGCCATTACTCTTTCCTTTCTTCTTGGCTTTCCTCTTTATAGGTTTATCGGAGTCCGATGATGACCCTGACCAGTCGCTATCATCAACATCGTCATCATCTTCTCCTAACTTCAAGTCATCATCGGGTACTTCTGGTTTGTCCAATGATTCTTCTTTTTTAGGCGGTTTCGGTTCTGTAAAGATTTTAATTTGTCTTTAAATAAAAACGTTGCCCCACACTAGAATTTTCTCCTGTGTCGTGGGTGCGTTTACAAACATACAAGTTCACATACACATGACACCCAGACCCGGAACAACAGTCCGATCACACAAAGAGTTCTTCTGTGCGGGAATCGAACCCGCGACACGTTGCGCGGCAGCCGGTTGTCCAGCGACTGAGCCAACCGTGCAGTTTGAAAACGCTTGACGGCCTATCAGAGCTAGGCAAATCTTCCATCACATCTCGACCGCTTTTGAACGCTTTGAACCACTCATAAGCCTATGTTTTTAATAAAGTCGATTCACCGTAAGCCTTCTGTAACATTTTCAGTGACTCCGAACACGAAATTCCATTGGCGATGCAAAATTTAAGACAAACTCTATGTTCGATTTTGTCCATTATGAAATTGGCAATATACACTATATGTGATATTACTAAAACCAGCGCTGTATTTAATATAAATAACGCATGCTGCTCATGAGGAAGAACCCCTCTGTGGTTCGAAACTAGTAGAGCTTTTCTCAGTATATTCACGTGAGTAACTCGCGAAAAAAGTTAATTTAGTATGTCTCACGATAGTTATTATTTATATAACA